TGCGACGAGAGTCTCTTCATAACCGAGGGGGATGAGGAGAAAGTGTTTCTCCTTGTCTACGTCGATGACATTCTCCTCTTCTCTCCATCCCTGGAGAGGATCAAGGAGGTGCAAGGGAAGCTGAAGGAGACCTTTCAATGCAAGGCCCTTGGACCAGTGGGGTATTACCTTGGTCTTCACGTGGAGCGGGACGAGGTGAAGGGATGGTTGAGGCTTCACCAACACAAGTACCTTGCAGCCATGGGGGAGAGGTATGGGCTGGAGGAAGGGAGGAGTGTAAAGACTCCACTACCCTCAGGATTTCAGCTACACCTTGATGAAGAGGAGGGTGAGGTGTTGGAGCCCGAGTTGCAGCGTCGGTTCCAGTCAATGGTGGGGAGCTTGATGTATGCTTCGGTCAACACTCGCCCCGATATTTCATTCGAGGTTTCGCAGCTGGCTCGTGTGGTGTCTAGGCCCCTTCAAGAGCACCTTGATGCATCAGAGAGGCTGGTGAGGTACTGCATGGCAACCTCAAGGGTGGGGCTGCAATATTCAGTGCATGGGCAGCTGAAGCAAAAGGGAGTGGAGGAGGTGAGCACGAAGACCGGTGCACCTGCAAGGCGTGGACACTTGTACCTCTCGTGCTTCACCGATGCTACCTGGGCAAGTGACATCAGTGATGCAACATCCCACGGTGGCTATGTATGCTGTGTTGGAGGGAGTCCAGTGAGCTGGAAGTCTAAGAAGCAAGGGGAGATAGCTCACTCATCAACGGAGAGCGAGTACATGGCGTTGTTTCATGGGGTGAAGGAGGTGGTTTGGATGAGGAGGTTGCTTGAGGAGTTGGGGCAGGAGCAAGAGGGTCCTACACCTGTGTTTTGTGACAGCCAAGGAGCAATTGCAATGGCTCGCAATGCTGTGCTCCATGGGCTGAACAAGCACATGCATATCAAATGGCATTGGGTGAGGAAGGAGGTGAAGAAGGGCACGGTCTCCTTGTACTACATCAACACTACCAAGCAACCTGCAGATTTTTTGACGAAGCGGCTTGCAGAGCATCAGCATTGGACCTGCGCCACCTTGTGTGGCATGTCCTTCAACTAGGGGAGGCAGCTTCAGGGAGCAGCTAAGGGATGAATGAGAGCACGATGAGGGGGAGTTTGTTGTGCCAACACATTACAGTGGCACGGTCATCGCACTCCCATTCGGCCTACAAGCCTGCTCAGCTTCTGGAATTTTGTGGGGAGGTTGTTCAACACGTTTTCTTCAAACCCTCAAAGTTTCAGAGTTTTTGAAGCAGTTACCAAGGCATGACAACATTTTATGTTTCAAGACTTATGGCATCCCGGAAGTGTGTGTTACTCCTTTTTGGTAACACCCGAGTTCACCATTTCGGCTGCTGACTCGTCTACCGAGATCTGATTGGTCTGAAATTCGGTCTGGCAGTCCTTTGCCCCGCTGTGCAAGTGGTCACCAAGTTTCAGAACGATCCAACATCTGAGCATTGCGTGACAGCTGCCGAAATTCACTGTTCCGTAGTCATGGTGCACTGTTGGCAGCATTTCCCTTGCCACCCTTTCATTGTTGTCATGCCAATGGTGCAGGGACAGAGAATGAGACAAGAAGTACAGGTGGTCAAGTGGGACTCTATAACCCTCCTTTTGAGAAGTGTGGTCTTCCTGGAAGCAACTTGCAAGAGGGTGCAAGTGGGAAGACAAGCTGACTCATGTTGGCTTGACTCACTATTGGTAGCCTTGAGTACAGCTCTGAACATCCAAGTGTGGTTGGCTTTGCTGACCTAGCTAGGACGTTTCCCATTCTTCTCTAGCCTTTCTCCCCTAGGACTCAACCTTCTCTGAGTTCCCAGGATGACCCAACCCCTTATGAGTCCCCTAGGCAATGTTGTACTCACCTCTTCCTTGCATCAATGAGAATACACGTTTTTTCAGCCGAGCTTACGTTTTCGTTCACTGCGTAGTGCACACACCTCTGATAATAGCAAGTAATATACCGTTGGAAAGCAGACACCTAAGGCTAACCGCTGTCCAAGTTTCAGCCTCGTATGTTCTCGGAGCTGATCGTGACGGCGTTTTGAACAGAGGCGGTTTGAAGACGTCAGATTCTGCTTAGGCGGTTTCATGGGCATCCGCGACCCCTAAGTGGACTGCAGACTAAAACAACAGCACATAGCAGCTCCTGCTTCTCTGAATTCCATGAAATGAGTCATGTTGGCTTGAGGCAGAACAGGAACCCGGTTCTAGACCATCGATTGTTGAGGTGGCACAGGGAAGGCCCGTCGCATCATGTTAGTCGACTCAAACAGCACATAGCAGCTCCTGCTTCTCTGAATTCCATGAAATGAGTCATGTTGGCTTGAGGCAGAACAGGAACCCGGTTCTAGACCATCGATTGTTGAGGTGGCACAGGGAAGGCCCGTCGCATCATGTTAGTCGACTCAAACAGCACATAGCAGCTCCTGCTTCTCTGAATTCCATGAAATGAGTCATGTTGGCTTGAGGCAGAACAGGAACCCGGTTCTAGACCATCGATTGTTGAGGTGGCACAGGGAAGGCCCGTCGCATCATGTTAGTCGACTCAAACAGCACATAGCAGCTCCTGCTTCTCTGAATTCCATGAAATGAGTCATGTTGGCTTGAGGCAGAACAGGAACCCGGTTCTAGACCATCGATTGTTGAGGTGGCACAGGGAAGGCCCGTCGCATCATGTTAGTCGACTCAAACAGCACATAGCAGCTCCTGCTTCTCTGAATTCCATGAAATGAGTCATGTTGGCTTGAGGCAGAACAGGAACCCGGTTCTAGACCATCGATTGTTGAGGTGGCACAGGGAAGGCCCGTCGCATCATGTTAGTCGACTCAAACAGCACATAGCAGCTCCTGCTTCTCTGAATTCCATGAAATGAGTCATGTTGGCTTGAGGCAGAACAGGAACCCGGTTCTAGACCATCGATTGTTGAGGTGGCACAGGGAAGGCCCGTCGCATCATGTTAGTCGACTCAAACAGCACATAGCAGCTCCTGCTTCTCTGAATTCCATGAAATGAATCATGTTGGCTTGAGGCAGAACAGGAACCCGGTTCTAGACCATCGATTGTTGAGGTGGCACAGGGAAGGCCCGTCGCATCATGTTAGTCGACTCAAACAGCACATAGCAGCTCCTGCTTCTCTGAATTCCATGAAATGAGTCATGTTGGCTTGAGGCAGAACAGGAACCCGGTTCTAGACCATCGATTGTTGAGGTGGCACGGGGAAGGCCCGTCGCATCATGTTAGTCGACTCAAACAGCACATAGCAGCTCCTGCTTCTCTGAATTCCATGAAATGAGTCATGTTGGCTTGAGGCAGAACAGGAACCCGGTTCTAGACCATCGATTGTTGAGGTGGCACAGGGAAGGCCCGTCGCATCATGTTAGTCGACTCAAACAGCACATAGCAGCTCCTGCTTCTCTGAATTCCATGAAATGAGTCATGTTGGCTTGAGGCAGAACAGGAACCCGGTTCTAGACCATCGATTGTTGAGGTGGCACAGGGAAGGCCCGTCGCATCATGTTAGTCGACTCAAACAGCACATAGCAGCTCCTGCTTCTCTGAATTCCATGAAATGAGTCATGTTGGCTTGAGGCAGAACAGGAACCCGGTTCTAGACCATCGATTGTTGAGGTGGCACAGGGAAGGCCCGTCGCATCATGTTAGTCGACTCAAACAGCACATAGCAGCTCCTGCTTCTCTGAATTCCATGAAATGAATCATGTTGGCTTGAGGCAGAACAGGAACCCGGTTCTAGACCATCGATTGTTGAGGTGGCACAGGGAAGGCCCGTCGCATCATGTTAGTCGACTCAAACAGCACATAGCAGCTCCTGCTTCTCTGAATTCCATGAAATGAGTCATGTTGGCTTGAGGCAGAACAGGAACCCGGTTCTAGACCATCGATTGTTGAGGTGGCACGGGGAAGGCCCGTCGCATCATGTTAGTCGACTCAAACAGCACATAGCAGCTCCTGCTTCTCTGAATTCCATGAAATGAGTCATGTTGGCTTGAGGCAGAACAGGAACCCGGTTCTAGACCATCGATTGTTGAGGTGGCACAGGGAAGGCCCGTCGCATCATGTTAGTCGACTCAAACAGCACATAGCAGCTCCTGCTTCTCTGAATTCCATGAAATGAGTCATGTTGGCTTGAGGCAGAACAGGAACCCGGTTCTAGACCATCGATTGTTGAGGTGGCACAGGGAAGGCCCGTCGCATCATGTTAGTCGACTCAAACAGCACATAGCAGCTCCTGCTTCTCTGAATTCCATGAAATGAATCATGTTGGCTTGAGGCAGAACAGGAACCCGGTTCTAGACCATCGATTGTTGAGGTGGCACAGGGAAGGCCCGTCGCATCATGTTAGTCGACTCAAACAGCACATAGCAGCTCCTGCTTCTCTGAATTCCATGAAATGAGTCATGTTGGCTTGAGGCAGAACAGGAACCCGGTTCTAGACCATCGATTGTTGAGGTGGCACGGGGAAGGCCCGTCGCATCATGTTAGTCGACTCAAACAGCACATAGCAGCTCCTGCTTCTCTGAATTCCATGAAATGAGTCATGTTGGCTTGAGGCAGAACAGGAACCCGGTTCTAGACCATCGATTGTTGAGGAAGGCCCGTCGCATCATGTTAGTCGACTCAAACAGCACATAGCAGCTCACGGCGGCAGGGGCACGGCACGCACATCAAAGAGCATGAGGCAGACGAAGATGTTGAGCGGGATGCGGAAGCAGTTCATGATGGTGGCACGCGCCTGAAGGAGAAGACCCCCTGAGTCAGGCAAGCGTGGGGTTGGAGCTGCAGCGGCGTGGGTGCAGGAGAGAGGCGTCCGGGGCACTCCCGGATTGAATGCAGTGCAGCAGTGGGTGGGGGGGGGGGGGGGGGGGGGGGGGGGGGGGGGGGGGGGGGGGGGGGGGGGGGGGACAGCAGTGCTCCGCGTAGAGCAACGGTGGTAAGGCCAACAGCACTCACATGGATGAAGACCGGTACAGATAGCGCCGCAGCAGCCACGAGAAACACCACCTGCATGTACCCCTCCACCTGCACTAGCTGCTGTGAGAAAGAGGCAGTGGAGGAGGAGACCAAGGAGGCCGATGGGGCAGAGGCAGAAGAGGCAGACGAGGAGGAAGAAGAGGAAGGGGTGGTGGTGGCGGCGGTGGCAGCGCGGACGAGGAGACGAGAGGCGAGCGAGGAGCCGATCATGCAGGCGAGCATGAAGGATGCGAAGATGAACCCGTGCGGGATGCGCTGCGAGGCGGGCGCCAGGGCGGGTGTCCACAGGAACACGAATGTGTACATGCTGGCCTCGAACAGGGCTTGGATGGCGCCTAGGAGAAAGATCTTCTCGTCTGGTGGAGAGGCGGAGTGTGTGAGGTGGGGAGTACAGGGGTTCGGGAGAGGGAGAAAAAGATTGGTGAGGGCGGGCGCCCTGAGGAACAGGAACTTGTTCATGCTCGCTTTGAACAGTGCCTGGCCTGGACGGGTTCCAGCAGAGAGACTTTATGATGTGCAGGTGCCAGGGAGGGTGTGCAGAGGAACACATAGGTGGGCATAGTGGCGTTGAAGAGTGCTTGGATGGCGCCTTGGAGAGCGATATTCTTGTCTGGATGAGGGGAATGTGCGGGGAGTACGGGGGCCGGACCGGGCGGGGAGTATGGGGGCCGGGGGGGGAGAGGAAGAAGAGCATTGGTGAGGGCGGGCGTGCAGAGGAAGACGAAGGTGCACATGGTTTGCCTTGAACAATGCCTGGATGTGGCGCCTGGGAGGGAAACTTTCTCGTCTGGATGAGGGAAATATGGGGGAAAGGAAAGAGAGATGGGAATGGGGGAGTGTAGGTGTGCAGAGGAACACCGAACATAAGTGTGCATCCTGGGCTCAAATAATGCCTGGATGTCGCCTGATAGAGTGCTCTTCTGGGGAGCGCGGGGGAGGGAGGGGGGAAAGGGGAGGTAAGAGCGGGAGCGAGGAGGGGATATTGACAGTGAATGGAGCGGGGGGGTTGGGGTGAAGGGGCGACTTGAGGCAGGAGAGGGGTGAGGAGAATAACATGACTGTAAAATGGAGCTGGAGAGCTTCGGAAGAGCGATAGAGAGTTTGTAAGGGAAAAAAATAACATGACTGAAACCAGAATCCAAACATCTCCCATCACAAGCCCCCATGCAGGCACCCCCTCCCCCCATTACCTTCCCGGATGGTAGCAGCAGCGGATCTGAACTGCGCGAGCAGCCCCTTGCTCTCATTGGTATCTCCGTAGTTCTCCCCCCACGTGCTCATGATGCCCGTCATGCCCACGGCCAGCAGCACGGCAGCGGCATCAAAGGGCGCCACTGGCCCCAGGCGCAGGTCGCTCACGAGCGTGTTGGCTAGCAGGCCCGAGAGGATAGCCACTAGCCCGTTGCCCAGGAAGACCGCCTGGGCGAACGTTACTGATAGCCACTGCTGCTCGAACCCGCGCTGTGAGAAGGGGGGGGAAGGGGGATGGGAGGGAGAGGGGGAGGAGAGGGACGAGGATGGCGTGGTGGAGAAAGGGAGGAAGTGGCGGCGGGTGTGGTTGGGCGTGAGGAGATGGACTGTTTGCCAGCAGGCCGGAGAGGATGGCCACTAGTCTGTTGCCCAGGAAGACCGCCTGGGCGAATGTGACTGACAGCCACTGCTGCTCGAAGCTGCACTGTGCGGGGCGGAGGGAGAGGGTGTGTGGGGAGAGGAGGCGAATGTGGTGGAGAAGGGGTGGGGGTTGGCGGTGGGAGTGGTGGGGCGTGGGGAGATGGCCTGTAAGAATCGCTGGGGGCTGGGTCGCAGTGATAGGCGGATGGGAGAGCGGATAGGGACCACAGAACGAGGCAATGGAAAGCAGGGGTATAGCTTCAGCAGATCCCCGGACCCACCCACCTTGCAGTGCTCCGCAATGAGCCAGCTCTCGAAGGCGGAGAAGAGCAGCGACGTGGCGATGCCGCCCAGCACGCGGCCCGCCATGAGCACGGGGTACTCGGGCGAGTGCTTGGTCAGGCACGAGAGGATGTACGCCAGACAGTATGTGATGCTCGCATTGCGCCGCCCGCTGCCAGGGGGGCGCGGGAGCAGGAAGTGGGGGGTGCGGGGAGGGGAGAGGGAGAGGGAGAGGGAGAGGCGTGTGTGAGGGGAGTGGGGGGCCTTGTGTAGACTCATGATGGGATGAGACCCGAGAATCAGAAGGGAAGTTCACGAAACAACATAAAGAGAGAGATCGACAGGAGGCCATGTGTTCCTACACCTGCAGGGCTCTCGTGCTCTCTCCTGCTCTCCCCCGCTCTCCCCCGCTCTCCCTTGCTCTCCTGCTCTCTCCTGCTCTCCCTTGCTCTCTCCTGCTCTCTCGTGCTCTCTCCTGCCCCTCCTGCCCTCTCCTGCCCTCTCCTGCTCTCTCCTGCCCCTCCTGCTCTCTCCTGCCCTCTCCTGCCCTCTCCTCCTCGCCTCTCTCGCCCTTCACTCACTGTCAGTCGTCCAGTGACCCCGCAACGGTCCCAAACACCATGGATGACTTTTGTGGCGCCTAAAAAATGAGACGATTTCTGAGGCGCCTCAATGATCGTCTCTCGCCCTTCACTCACTGTCGGTCTGCCAGGGACCCCACAACGGTCCCAAACACCATGGACGACGCGAATCCCGCGACGAAGAGCCGCCCGATCTCCGTGTGCGAGTACCCGTAGTGCTGGTACAGCGCGTACACGTACGGGCCCTGCAACCAGTCTCCCGCTGCTCATGGCGCATGACACAGGGCACACGGCACAGGGCACAGGGCACAGGGCACAGGGCATGGCGATGAGGGGAGATTGTAGCGCCAGGATGGGGAAGAGAAGTGAGGGGACGCGCGAGGGGGAGGGAGCACGAAGGTGATAGCAGTGCAGCGGTGCATCATTAATTTGAGACTTGTGCTGAAACAGGACAGGTAGGAGGTTGCTGTGTTGCTCTCTCGGAAACAGGGCACGGTCGCTGACTGGGGTAGCAGCCACGAGCAGAAGCAAAGTTTAACCCGAGGAAATTGGTTCGCACACCCACCATGCGACACAGACACGCACCCACCACGCGACACACGCACCCACCACGCGACACACGCACTCACCACGCGACACACGCACCCACCACGTGACACACGCACCCACCACGCGACACACGCACCCACCACGCGACACACGCACCCATCATGAAGCAGTATATAACGAGGTAATTATTCTTAAACGCCTCGAACGCCTGAGACGTAACCACGCGGTCTCGCTGCCCCTTAGTGGCCTCTAGCGCCACGCACAGCGCCAGCAGCGCCGCGAACACCAGCCAATAGAAAATCTCCATCTGCGCGCCTAGCCCCGCCGCGCCGGACTCGGCGGCGAGGGCCCACGAGGCGAGGGAAGAATGAGCGGAGGTGATGGAACCACGTCGGCGATAGGGAGCTAACGATTGCTTTGCACGGCAGACAAGGAGCGATTGCTTGGTGGAATTGACGCGTCTGACTGCGATCGGATGTCCGACGAAGGAGGCATCTACGGGGGAAGATCGGGAACGAGTGATTTGAGCGCAAGTCGCGATCTGGGATTGTCTCTGCGAAATTTTATGCGATTTTGTGTCGTCGGCAGGACGGCACAAGCGTGCGCTTCGTTGTGGCGGACTCGGGCCGCGCTCGCGGGCTTTCCTGCCCAGCGGCCCCAATCCACTGGAATTGGCAGCTAGTAACACGCGATTAACTAGGAATTGGGGGACGAGCCGCAACCGCAACGCTTCTCTACTGGAGGTACAGAACATGTGTCGTTTAGGAACGCAGACGAGGTTGCGTTGCAAATGCTGTCAGAGAATCTGGAACATCGGAGAGTGAGATGTTCGGCCCAGAAATTGACGAAATGGTTGGCGGGAAAGTACCACCGAGTTTGGGCGGAGGGAGGGATGCACCTTTTCTGGCATTTTAGAAAAATATAAATACACTTCTAGGTAGCTATAAATAAGTTCTTTCAGCTGTAACTGAGCATATTGTGCACACTTTACAGCCATCTTGAAGACATAATTCTCATGAAAAACAAATTAAAGGATTCTAAAAATAAATATATTTCCGTACGGTATTCTCAACGCCCTATGCGGTTGTTAGAAAACAACGTAATCATATGGGTTGACACGGATTCAACCTTGAATAAAAATATTCAACTTAGAGCTAGACATTTCTCTTAAAGATATTTCTGCATTTCTTCGGTCGCCGCTCTATTGAAATGAAGCACTCACCTGAGTTTGGTTCGCCAAACAAATATCTATATATTAAATTTGTGCAACTTCGTAATAATATAGGAGTGTGTTCCTAACGCATCATGAGCTGTCATATCCTCTGGTCAATTCAACTCACCAGTGCATGTCTCCCAGTCGTGTTCAATGCGTGTCACTCACGTGGCTCCACGCCCGGCCGCTCTCATTCTCAAATATATCGAAAGAACCATTCCTGTCTCCTCGAAATCCCCGCACTTCTTATCGCGAGCCCCGTGGAATCCGCTCCTCATGCCGCCGCCGTTGCGCTCCCCACTGCGCACGCGCGAACAGTTCATCGCGCATCCCCTCCTGCTGCGGAAGGCGAGAGCAGATGAATGTGCCGTGCGGTCTCCTCCACCTCCTCCCCCTCCCCACAAGCTCCTCCATCCATGTGTATTCTCGCTGCTGCTTCTCATATGACTCTTCGCCTAGACGTTCCTTCCATACGGTTGGCTGGTTATCAGCGTCGATCACGCTACGAGCAACTGGCAAACATCCGCGTTTGTAGTCGTTCGTTACGCCACGCACCACGTGCATCCGCGTTATAAAGCGCCTCAGAAGGCGTGTTGCTCTATGGCGCACGGGGAAGGGCTTCAGGGGGAGGACACGCGGCCAGGGCGGACGGTATCGGGAAAAGACGCGGGGGATGGCGGGATGAGTGGAGATCGAAGGGTGGTGGAAGAGAAAGTGGCGGAGGTGGATTGCCACTGTTCGGGGACACGTGGCGACATGAGATTGGCTGCTTCGGTGGAAGGGGTGACGGGGTGAGTGGGCCAGGAGGTGAGGTGGAGACACGGGCATGGGGAATGGGCCATGTTTACTGCTGAGTGAAACTCTGCTCTCACCTCATGCGGTTTCCCCACTCTCTCTCTCTCTCACTCCCAGCTACCCTCCAACTCTCACCCACCTACAATCAGACCTTCACTCTGACATCAGCAGTGCTACGCCCACCCCCTCAATCTTTCCACGCATTCGTAATTGCTGATTGGGTGATAGCAGCCAGCCAGTCAGTCAGTCCAATCAGGCTTGCCGGTTCTAACACATCCGGCAAAATGGTATGCGCAGTACCTCACTCCCATGCACACCCCCACTCCCATGCACACCCCCACTCCCATGCACACCCCCACTCCCATGCACACCCCCACTCCCATGCACACCCTCACTCCCATGCACACCCTCCCCACCCCACTTCCACCCTCGTTCTCCTTCACGCCAACAGCCCCAGCAGAAGCCAGCAGCAGCACGCGCATCACCACCACCACTTGGAAGCAGCGCAGAGCACTCCCCTGCCGCCCGCTGCTGCTGCCCCGCCGTGTGCCACTGCCTGTGCTGCCGCCTGTGGGTTGGAGTGCAGGCGGCAGAGCATGGAGGTGGCAGGCGTGCCGTTGTTGAATACAGCAGCTAGCAATGCTGACACTTGCTCGTCTGCGCAGCAGCAGGGGCAACAGGGGCAGCAGCATGGGCGGCAGCAGCAGCAGCAGAAGCAGCAGCAGCAGCAGCAGCAGCAGCAGCAGCAGCAGCAGCAGCAGCAGCAGCAGCAGCAGCAGCAGCAGCAGCAGCAGCAGGGGCAGGGGCAGCGGAGCAGTAGGGGGAGCGAGAGGCATGGGTTTCGAGATTTGGCATGTGCAGCAGTGCGGCTGTGCGTGCTGCTGCTAGCCCTCCTGTATCTGCTCCTGCTGCTCTCACTGCTCTTACTGGTGAGCACACACACATGCACGTCCATTGCTGTAGCACTCCAGCACACACCACACCAACGCAAGTACACCTTGCCACCCCAGCTGCTCGTTTCATCTTTCATCTCTCAGCACTGCTCTCCTTCACCAAGTCACCTTCGCCCGCCCTTACCCACCTGACCCTCCCCACCCCCCCCCCCCCCCACCTCTTCGCCTGCTCCCCGTTTCCCCCCCTCTATCCCATGCCACCACAACCCCTTCCCTTGCGTGCCATGCAGGCCCCCACCCGCCACGCTGCACGGTCTTCCCTCCTCTCTGCCCTCCGCCTGCTTCCCCGCACTCGCTCTCCCGGCCCCCCTTCGCCCGCCTCCCCTGCCGTGCCGTCGCCCCTGCTCGCACCACCCGCCCACCCCACAAACCCCCCGGCACTGGCCTCGCCTGGGTGTGTGGTGGGGCGAGGCGGCAATGGGTCATGCAGCGGCGACTGCTGTGTGGTGGACACGTGTGCTGCTGGGAGCCTTGCTGGCCTTGCCAGTTTCAGGAGGGAATTGACAGAACAGCATGGCTTGCATGGGCATGGGCATGGGCATGGGCATGGGCATGGGCATGGGCACGAGCATGGGAAACTAGGCGAGGAGGGCGAGAGGGATCGGTCGTATGCGGAGGACTGCCGTGTGTTCACATGGGAGAAGCCGCACAAGATGCACAACGTCATGGTGAGCTCTCAGTCGACTCAAGCTTGCGGGTATAGTCTGACTGTAGAGACGACTTGTAGAGGCGCTGCAAAAGGACTGCCGTGTGTTGTGTTCACTCTCTTTTTGAGTCGACTCAGAGATGGGAGAAGCCCTACAAGATGCACAACGTGCTGGTGCGCTCGCTCGCTCCCCGCCCACCTTGACCTTGCTTTGCTCCCCTTCCCTCTCTCCCCTCCCCTCCCCTCCCCATTCTGCTCCATCAATCCTCCTTGCGCCTCTCCGTTCTCGTCCTACCCCCACGCACACACCCTTCAAGGCGGCCGCAAGCATTCCTGCAACGACCATCCTTTCCATCATTTTCACTCTCTCCCTCCCCCTCCCCCTCCCCCTCTCCCTCCCCCCCTCTCCCCTGCCCTCTCTCCCCCCCCTGTCTCTGCATGGTGTCAGGCAACGGTGTGGGACGAGTTCACGGTGGCGCATGCGGTGGGGTGGTGTGCCAAGGCGCTCATTATCCGCGACCGTCGCATGCTGCTGCTGCTCTCCATTGCCTTTGAGCTCACCGAGGTGTCTCTTCAGTTGACCCACAGTTTGCATGTTGAGTTGACTCTTGCAGCTCTTCCTTTCTCACTCCTGGTACCCCGCCCTTTTTCTCTCTCGTCTCCCCCGTCCGCCGTCACCCATTTGCGTCGTTACCCCTATCTCTCAAGTTCTTCCCTGCAATGCCCTTGCACACCCATGTCTCCCTCACTCCACTACCACTCACTCCTCCCCCCCTCACTCCTCTCCCCCACTCTCCACTCCCCCTTACTCCGCTCCCCTCTCGTTTCTCCTCCCCGCCCCTCCTCCCCGCCGCTCCTCGCCCATGCAGCGCATGTACAGGCATCTACTGCCCAACTTCAACGAGTGCTGGTGGGACTCCCTTATCCTCGACATCATGCTCTGCAACACTCTCGGTCCGTCCGTGCCACCTCCCTGCGCTGCACTGCTTTCCCCTGCCATGTGCCATGCCGTGCCTTCCCGTGCCAATGTCTTCACGCCCTTGCATACCGTGATATGCAACAGCAGCACCCGCGCCACAAGTCCATGGCATCACGTCCTGCGCCACAAGCAGCAGGGCAGAGAGATTGGAGCCCTGAGCCCTGTGAGAATTTCCTGGCTCGATGAGCACTTTGGTCCTTCGAGGAGAAGTCCTTCCACGACGCACATTCGTCCTCGTCCTCACATCACACCCACCTCCCTGTCACTGCTTTCTCAGTGCACTGCAGAGGGACTGTATCTCCTTTTGAGTTCTGAACCTCGCTCCCGTGATCACCAACCCACATCTTACAACCAACTGCCTTCCTCCACATTCTCATCTCACTCTCCCAACCTGCAACCGACACCCCGTTGCTCCATTCCTCCACCCACCCTCGCCAACCATTTTCCCTCCTTCCCCTCCTCCTCACCCCCCCCCCCCCCCCCCCCACCTTTTCCTCCTCAGGCATGGAGGTGGGCCTCTGGCTTCTCCAAGCGTGCCACATGCCGCGCTTTGATTGGTTCGCCGGCGTCTCGTCTCTCATCGCCCACACGGCACCATCCCTTGCGCATCTCGTCTCCACCACTCGCCAGTCCCTTGTGGTCCGTACCCTACCCTCCCTCTCTTGAACCACGACTAAAGAACATTGTACATCTCGCCCTCCTCCCTGCTTTCACTCAAGTCCCTCCTCTTCCTTTCTCCTAGATTCTTTCTTCCTTCCACCACCTCACTCCTTTCCCGTCTCTTCGCCCCCTTCCCTTCCCCCCCCCACCCCCCTCTCCCTCCTCCCCCCACTCCTCGTGCAGGCAGCGCTGCTCGTCCTCCTAGTGCTACCAGCGGACCTCTGTGCAATCTTCCTCAACCACTGCCTCGGCCCTCGCCCTGCTGCGTCTTCTGAGGCGTCTCAAGATTCCTCCCTCCTCCCCCCCTCCCCCCCTCCCCCCCTCCCCCCCTCCCCCCTCCCCCCCTCCCCCTTCTCCCCTCTCCCCTCCCCCCTCCCCCCTCCCCCCTCCCCCCACCGTGCAGGCAGCGCTGCTCTTCCTCCTAGTGCTAGCAGCGGACCTCTGTGCTTTCTTCCTCAAGCACTGCCTCGCCCTGCCGCCACTTCACCCCTTCAACACCCTCCGCCTCTGCCTCTGGGCTGCTCTCTCTCTCCCCGCCGCACACTGCCTGCACTCCCTCCTGCACTCGCCTCTACTCGCCTGCCCGTGCCCCTCGGCCTCTGGCGCAGGGCGGGCGGGGGGGAGGACAGCAGGGGAGAATGGAGCAGGGCGGGGTGAAGGGGAGCATCCAAGGAAGGCGGATGGGTGAGATGGGTGGGGTGGACGGGGGACGGGGGAGGGGGGACGGGGGAAGGGGGAGGGGGGACGGGCTGGGGGGGCTGGGGGGGCTGGGGGGGCTGGGCAATATAGCACCGCATGTGCTGGTGTTAAAACATTTTGCAGGGTGTATGCAAGGAACCAAGTTGCTTGCCCTGGTGAATCTTACCTGTTGAGATGCACCCTGAAAGAGGTGCCTTTAAGTCAACTCTAAAGTCATTTGTTGAGATGCACACTGAAAGGCACCCACTCTTTTATGCTGCTGATTCCATCTCTGCTCATCTCCTTTGTTCAATCCTTCCTCCCATCTGCTCTCACCACCGTCTGCACCCACCCCACTCTGTGCCTTGGTCTCATCAGGACTATGCTTTGTGTTTTTTGAGATTTAAAGATGAAAGATTGTCTGCACCCACCCCATGCCATGCCCTGGTCCCATCCCATCAGGGGCATCCCGTTCCTCATCCTCGCTCTGCTGCTCTGCCTCTCCGAGATTCTTGTCTCCCTCAAGTTTTGCCAGGGTATGTGCCTCTCACCGTGCTTGTTACATGTATACTTTCTTTTTCTTCTTCTTTTATTTGAAGATTAATCTCAAATGTGACACAAGCAGGGCATGCGGATCTTACCGTGTCGTGCTTGCTCGTTCCATGCCACGCCATGCAATGCCATGCCATGCCACCCACCCCCTACCTTGCTGTTCCATGTTTTGTCATCTCACGGCTGTCAATTGCCGCTCAACCGAGCGCCCGCAGCCACACAAGTCCTGCTCTCATTGAGTCATGTCACCACCGCTGTCCTTCCGACTCCCACCCTGTCCTTATCTCCCCCCGTTGTCCTAATTTCCCCCTTGACCACCTACAGGCATGTTTCCATCTCCACACCCTCCCTGGGTGTCCGCCATCCACATGGCTCTTGCCTATTCCTTTCTCCTCCTCCTCCTCCTCCCTTCCCTCGTGCCCTCTCTCTTCCTCTGGTTCCTCCCATCTCCCTTCGGGTTTCATTCCTCCTCCTTCGCCCCCCTGGCTTCTTCCAACTATTGCCCACTGACAAATGCGGGTGGTGGTAATGCTTGGCGGAAGGAGCTGCAATAGAGGGGGGATTTGGGTGCTTCAGATTGGTCAACCAAGTGCGAGGCAGCTACATTGCCTTCATAGTAACATGCTGAGGTACTCTAGAAGCCGCAAGCCTGGAGCAGGTTCGGAGTCCATTGTGTTGCGTTTTGGGATGTGCAGTGTGAAGACCAATTTACAGCTTCTACTTGGATCCACTTGAAAATATGAAGGAGCTGTGTGTTGGATATGTTACCATCCTAAACAGGACTTAGCCAGGGATCGGCTCAAAGTTGATCGCACATGAATTGTTGTAGCGGAAGTAATCGACCTCAGGTTAGAGTGAATGTACATGACTGAGATAATAAAACTATGCATGCATCGTGTATATATAGGAATACAAGGGGAAAACGAAACATCCTAGCTAGCCATGTAGGGGTACATTCCCTAATTACAGCGAATTCAAACCGTGCGGCGCAGGAAACGTTTCAAACATGTTCCTGCTCTTTTCACTCCGAATGTTTCTGCCTGCATCGGTCTTGATCTGACGGTTGTTGGTGTCGCTTCGACTCTTCTGACTCCTCGACTTCGTACTCGGTAGAGCCAGCTCCTACAGCGTACAGGAATGCCTTCTCATAAAGTTTCATATTTCAACACCCCCCTTCATTCCTGGGCGTGTTGAGGGCTGACTCGCTTGACTACTCTGGTGAGGTTGGAGCAGTGCTGGTACTGCTGACATGGCAGTCGCTTGGTGTGGAAGTCGGCTGCCATCTCGGTGGTGGGGCAGTACGTGAGGTCAACCTTGCCCTGATCAATTATGTCCTTAACGAAAAAGTACTGAAGCGCAATGTGCTTCGTGCGGTTGACGAACCCCAGTTTGTTCGCGATCTTGATGGCGCTCTGGTTGTCGCAGTGAAGGCAAAAGGTGGACAAAGGTGGGATTTTTGCCTCCTGCAGCAGCTCTTGCAGGTAGAGCCCTTCGCGAACTTCAGCTGTCGCAGCGATGTACTCTGCTTCAGCTGATGACAGGGCAACCAGTTCCTGCTTCTGCGAGTTCCAGGAGATTGGGCCAGTTGGCTCCAGGCGGAAGACGAAGCCAGTTCGTGACCGTCGATTGGTAGGATCAGCTGCGTGATCTGCGTCCACGTAACCAGTGAGATTGAAGGACGTTGTTTTCAGCGTGGAGTAGGAGAGCCCGATGTCCGGTGTCGAAATGAAGTACTACAGGGCGCGCTCCAGGTCCAACTGGTTCTCTGCTACTGGCTTGCGTGAATACTGTGCCAGTTGGCTGGTGATGTACGAAAGATCGGGTCGGTAGGTGACGGAGGCGAATAGCAGGCACCCCAGCTGCTGTTGATAAAGTTGGAATCCTGCGGGCGACAGGGGTTTGTTGTCCGATTTGTAGTTGGCGCTGGGCGTGCGGTAGGGAGTTGAGAGTGGTGCGAGCGAAATTTTGAAGCGTTCCCCTAGCTGCTCTGCGTACTTGCAAGCTGACAGATGAATTTCGTCTGGCGCGTAGGTGATGTTTAGCCCTAGGAACTGTGTGACTTTGTGGTTGATGGTGATGTCAACGCGCTGCGCCAGGTTATGCTCGAATTGGTTCAGGAGCTCGTTGCTTGTGCCAGTGTACAGCAAGCCACCGGCGTAGACTGTCAGGAGGATGTAGTCGTCGTTGAAGTGGAGGCGGTACATTCCCAGGTCGTACGGAAGCTGCTTGAAGCCGATCTCGAGAATTATTGTGTGCAGGTGCTGCTGCCAGATTCGCGGCGCCTGCTTGATCCCGTAAAGAGATTTCTTCAGCTGACAGACCATGGGGTGTCCTTCCCCGTAGGTGTGTGGCTGTTCCACGAAGATGGTCGCATTGACCAACGCGTATAAGAAGGCGTTCTTGACGTCGATCTGCCGAAGTGGTAGGTGCTTAGCGGCGGCGATGGCGAGTAGAATTTGCACGGAGGTATGGCGGCTCACGGGGGCGAAGGTCTGGTCGAAGTCAATTCCGTGGTGTTGGTCGTACCCGCGTACGACCCACCTAGCTTTGAAGCGCTCGATAGTTCCGTCAGCGGCGGTCTTGAGGCGAAAGACCCATTTTCCGCTTAGGACCCTCCTCCCCTTCACTGCTGCACGATCGACTAGGACCCATGTGTCCGCGGGACTCCTGTGCTTTCAGTTCTGCATTCATAGCAGCACGCCACCCTTAGCGTGTGGGCGTGTGAGGGCCTGCCGTGGATTCTTAGGCTCAATGATGCGCAGGGCAGTAGTGATGGCGGTGTGGAGTGTCAGAATGTTATTATCTAGCCTGTAGTGGGGTGCTCTATAGCGGGTACAACCCAGTTAGGGTTTGCTATATGTATCCCAACTACTGCTAGTGAAACCTCTATTTTCTGTTTCTAACTTTCGTACTGCCTGATTCTGACATGGTTTCAGAGCAGGTCGACCCCCTTGGGTCGATCCTGTGGGTGGGCCCACCACCTAACTGCTTCCGCTGCTACTCTGTCTGTTGCACGCCCCGTGGCGTGCAACGCCTTCTTCCTGCCACCGTGCGCTCGGGGCGCGCGGCGGTTTCCTGCCCGCCGTGCGCCCCGAGGCGCGCGGCGGTTTCCTGCCGTAGGGGACCCGCGCGCAGCCCCCCGCCCTTCCCGTCGCGTCGCCCTGCAGGCCGTGCGCGGGCCTGCAGGCCGCGCGCGGACCGTCTGCCCGTCGCGCGGCCTTGGGGACCCGCGCGCGGCTCCCGCCCTGCTCGTCGCGGCGCCCTGGGGAGCACACGCGGCCCCCGCCCTTCTTGTCGCGGCGCCCTCCTCCCCCCCCCCCCCCCCCCGTGCTGCCCATTCCTCCCGTGCCGCCGTGCGTTCCGCGGTGGTGGGGGGTGTGGGGTGGCGAGCATGGGGGTGCGCGGTGTGGGTACTCCCCTTCCCTCTCCCCACTTCCTTGTTCGTCTCCCACTGCTGCAGCTGCTGCTGAGGGGGGTGGAGGTGTGGGAGCCGAGGGGAATGGCGCTAGGGGGGTGACGTGGGAGTGGAGTTAGGGGTTCAGCAGGGGGTGTGTGTCAAGGGTGTGGGTCAGTTGGAGGAGGTTGTGTGGAGGTAGCTGTCGTGTCGCCTGCAGCGCCTGTAGTCCGTCGCCCTTGCTTCGGTAGCCAGTGAGCCTGTTGCATCAGTCGCCAGTGGGTCCGTTGTTCCTGCCGCTCGTCTTAGCCGCGGAGCCAGTCACTCCAGTAGTCCGTCGCCCTTGCTTCGGTAGCCACTGAGTCAGCCGCTCCTGTGCCCGTGCCTCTGCAGCTTCAGTCATTGCCTCCCATCTTCTCTCCTTCCACGGTTCCTCCTCCTCCTCACTTGCCCGCTGTGATTACCTCTAGCTTTGCTTATTATTGTGAACTCCTGCTCATTGTGCTGATTACACCCAACTTTGGCTATGGGGGTGTGTCAGAATGTTATTATCTAGCCTGTAGTGGGGTGCTCTATAGCGGGTACAACCCAGTTAGGGTTTGCTATATGTATCCCAACTACTGCTAGTGAAACCTCTCTTTTCTGTTTCTAACTTTCGTACTGCCTGATTCTGACATGGAGACCTAGGAGTTGAAGGCCAGTGACGTTTGCCGTGCCTTGAGCTTCCTGAGTGGTTACTTCAACCACGTCGTCGTCGTCGCTCTCTTGTGCAGGCGAGGAACTGCTTGGGGGTTCGTAACGTTGTGAAGGTCCTGGTGCGAGAGTGTTGTTGCCATCATCATCGTCGTTGTCGTCGCGCGGACGGGGAGGTATGCCGAGATGTTCGTCAACAGGGTCGCGGTCAAGGGCTGCTACAGCTGCTTCATCTTCTGGTGAGGCGAAGCTTCGACCGTTGTTGGCGTAGGCTTGGTTGGCGCCTCTCTGCTGTTCCTCGGTCCACTGTTCTAAGTTAAGCCGTTCGTAGAAGGGAATGTCTCGCGCAGGTAAGATTTTGTTGATGCTGATGTCTAGGATCAGCCAACCTTTATATTCGTAGCTGAGCCCCAGATGTACTCGCTAGCGCGCGCGGTCAGTGAATTTGCCGATGGTAGCAGATGTCGGCCTGTATTGCACCATGCACCCCCAAAACCTCAGCATGGAGGTGTCCCCCCTTGTCCCAGTCCACTTCATGTGCGGTGAGAGGTACCCCTTGTTGGCTGTGGTGGACAAAAGGTTGTGAAGTCGCACGGTGTGGTTTCATGGCGTATGGCCAGTACTTGGTGGGGAGGCCGGACTGCTTCATGAGGGCGCGGACTTTTGTCATGAGAGTGCAATTGACCTGCTCAGCGACGCCTTGCTGCTGGTGAGTGATGTGGTGCTTGATCCCCTTTTCCATGAGAAAGGTCTGCAGTTCATTGCTGCGAAACTCCTTTGCCCTGTTTGTCTACCAAAATTTTAGCTTCTTTCTCGATTCCCGTTGCGCATGAGCCAGCCAGATCCGACAGACTTCAGGAGCTTTCGAGTGAAATTTAACGTTGGCGATCCAGACGTAGCGTGAGTACGCGTCGATGAAGGTGAGAGTGTGGTTCTCATCGTTGACTCCTCCGTAGGTTATCACAATGAAGTCGCAGTAGACTTTCTGCAGCTTCTTGTAGCGGTTGGTGCTCGGCTGTAGTGAAGGGTAGGCTTGGTGCATGAGGGCAGCTGTGGGACAGACGGTGCAGACCTATGGCTGTGTGGTGCGTTGTGGTTCCGTGCCGTCAGGGCGCAGCAGTGCTCCTGGTAAGAAGACTTTGGCGGTGAGGCAGTTGTCGAATGTCTGGCGTGAGGGGTGGCCGAGCCGCTGGTGCCAGAGATCATCTTCTGCGCGAATTCTTGGGGTGCGCATGTACCTTGCTTGATGTGCAGCTGCCTCAACTTTTGTTTCGTGGGGAATGCAGAGCACGGGTCCTTCTTCTTCTCATAATTCCACTTCTTCTTCCTCTTCTGCTTCTGATTCTGCTTCTGTTTCCCCTTCTGCAGGCGCTGTTGATTGAGCGCGAGGAAGTTGCGGTCGGGTATGGTGTTAAGCGGAGTAGTGGTGTCTTCGATGAAACACGCAAAAGGATCTGGGCAGGAGAG